TTCGATTTGCTAAATCAATGTTACTGGGTACAAAATGAGTAGGTAGCTTTAAATATGTTTTGCATGCGAGAGACAGATAAGCTACAACAAATATCGGTATCTAATGCCCTCGAGTATACTCAAAAAGTAAAATAATATATATATATATATATATATAATATAGCAGGTAATCCATAATAATTGTTAAAACTACGGAAATTCTATATAATTATCCACCTATATGCATGTGGATCTAAGAAATTTTCTATTACATCTACCTCGATAGTGCCTTTTGATCCCGAGTAAAATAATGAAGTTCTAATTAAAGGTTTTCGCCATTGAAAATGAATTAAGTATAAAATAAGCAGTACTTGTACAGTTATACGTGCTTATTAGTTAAAAGGAGTACACAGAGGTGGATTTATCTTTTTTACGGCTATAGGTACCAACAATTTTCCGCCCCCATAATAGGTGAACAACTAAACAAGCTACCACAACCGTATACTATATAAGATATAGTAGAAAAATATAAAATATAAATTAAATATGCACATTATTAATTATGTTTCGTAAATATAAAGAAATGATTTTTTTTTTCATAAGTTTGATGTTTTTTAATAAAACACTACAAAATTTTCCGCCCTAGGCAGCTGCCTATAGTGCTTAATGGGAAATCCACCTCTGGGAGTACAATCGTATCAATGATTATAGACAAAGATAGGATAAATTTCACGTATGACAGCTCTTAATTTTAATAAATAACATTTAGGCTATACAATTATATAAATAATATTTTAGTGACCATCTCATTTGGTTTGAACTTTTCAAAAATTGTATGTGGTAATTGCAATAATACTGTAACACTTTTAAGTTGGAAGTTATTTAATTAATTACTTAAAACACAAGTATCCATAAGTTTAAAACCATTATAAATTTATATAAATTTACTTTAAAAAAAAAATAGCATACTCACATATAATAAATTGTGATTCGTTCTTTATAAGTATATCACTCTTCTCAATATGTGTTACATTGTAAATTGTATTCATTTCTTCTTTTTGAAAATGTCCAGAAAGTATATTATAAAAAAAAGTTTTTTTTTAATCGTGTTGTTTTAAAATTCTTTAAAATCTTGGTAAAATATTATAGAAAAAGTTAATAGACGTGTAAAGAAAATTAAGTTAGTGTAGAAAAACATATCTCACTGAAAGCATAATACAAGCATATGCGGAAGATAAAACGTTTTCCTTAAACTAATTGAACTGAGGTTAACAAAGAATACCGTCACTTTAATTTTTAATTATGAAAAAAATTATACATCAATTTTAAAGTCGGTTGTTAATACTGTAAATTAATATAAATTGTTCATGGAATAACAATATTCATAATATTTGAAGTCTGCATCCTGTAAAATAGGTTAAGTATGTGTCTATTCAATGTTATTTTTTGGACAAATTTTACTTTTTGAGTAAATATTATGTAATATTTAAAGATACAATTGGATATTGATCCATAAGATAATAATATGTAAATACTTAAAGTATTTTTACATACTTAAGCTTAACTATTGAAAATGTATAATATGACTGAATACTTTTCATGTTAATTTAAGTTTCTTTAAAGAATAATTATAAAATGCATTTTATAGAACTAACTGCTAAACTCTTGGGTAGATATTTTGGTTTAAAAACCAGTGGATCATCGTCAACTCTTTGTAACTATATTTATAATTAATAATACACTGTTCAATATTGTTTTCAGAGAATCGAAAATTATACAAATTCCCCGGGGATATTAAGATATATATTATGTAACAAAAATGTCATTACATTTTTTTTTTTTTTACAATTTTGGTAGTTAAATACAAATACAATTGATAAACGTATTGGTTGACTAATATACATATTATGTCTAGAAAAACTATCATAGTATCATCGTTCCATACTTGCATGTTTTTATTTTAGTATTAAAAATAATAATAATAATAATAATATATTTTGCAGGACCTTTTAGATAAATTATTCGAAAAATGAACATTCTATTTGAATCAATTTCGAGGACCTGTTTTGACAAAATAATATTACACAATAATTCTCTCGTTTTAATCGAACTTATGGAAACGAACATTATTTTAATAATATATTTATCATTTAACAATCAGTGAGCCATTACTATTTGGAATTGTACAATCTGACATTAAATGTCGTGTCCAACTATTATTTCTGTGATAGTATTGAGATCATATTAAATATATAAGTAAAATCATTTTATTTTATAATTAGTTTATCAGAATAGATTATTCAATTTTGAAAAAATTAACTGAGTATATCTCTACTGTATGAGTTTCGAATAGGTCATTGTAATGGATATATTACATATGAACTCAACAATATAAAATTTTAAATGAAAAACGAAAATTTTCATTAATTTTTTTGTTTGCTTTTCTCGATTGAGAAAAAAATTAATTTTGACCTCTTTAGTACCTATTAGATCCAATTTTCATACAACCCCCTCCCTTAAAAATTTAAAATAAAAACATTTTATCGCATATACATTTGTGAAAAATTTACAACACATCATTGTAAAATCAATATACATTCATCGCTCCGCTTAGAATCTAAAATATATTTTTTATAAAAATTAACTTTATCTCCTCAATGTTTTATTTAAAAATGTAAAAAATAACAATATAAATTAACTATCAAATGAACGTATTCATTTTTCTAAGAATGTAAATGAGAACGACTTTGATTTTCATGTTATTATTCTAAACACTAAATTACACAAAATTTTAATAACACATATAATAAATATAGACATTTTTTTGTAATAATTTTGAATATCTATTGCATAAGGTATATTGTGTGATTATTTGATAGGACTTGAACCTATGTGGAAGACACACTTACAATACACAATCGTGCAAAAACATCATTTGATGTTTGTTGTCGGAATATCGTCAAAGTTTAAATCGGCTGAGTACTGCAAATAAACCAAATAAATGGCACATATCTTTTTTTTTTAATTCGCATACTCAATAATAATGTGTTTGTGTCCAAGTCGAGGATACCTATAAATGATTTTCATCAAAAAATAATCATTTCACCAACTAGTTGTCGCTGTCAATACAACATTACCATAAAAAATTACATAATTTACTATCATTATTCTATTTTATTGTAGTATTATAATAAAGTTATTTGTGCTAATCGTTGAAAATTTTCGATATGGTAATTATTTCTGATTTCACGTATTACGCGTCTGCAGTTACAATAATGGTCGAAAATGCATGTTCATTACACGGATTAAATCGATTATAAATTACCATCAAAATTTGGTGCAAAATAAACGCATAGTAGTCAATTCGATTAATGCTAGTAGATGGTAGTCGACTGCTTTATAAATTCGACGTCGTTATCTATTATAATATAATATTATTCATCTATGAAAATAGTTTATTGTACTTTATGATGATCCAAGGACATAAAATATCTTATATTTAATTGAAGACGATCAGAATAGAGCGAAAAAAATATGAAACGATGTAGGTAGGTAAGGCGGGTGTAATAAAGAAGACGCAATCAGTCGGGCGAAGTGAAACAAAATGAAATGGTTTATTGTTTATTTCACTCTTACAAGTGTATAATAACAATCATAATAAGAATAATATATATATATATATAATTATAATAACTATTATGTATATCGATGGGCAGAGTTGGGCGTATACTTATAAATTGATATATATCGTAATAATATACAGGTAGGCAGTGTGGGTACAACAAGTTTATGACAAGAGTACGCTGGGCGCTGCTGCAAATGTTGCCTTCACCACCACTATTTTTACCTAAAACGGTATCTACCACCTCCACCACAACTACCCCACAGATTACCGTCCCACGCGGAAAGACAACTGCAGCTATTAGACGCACGCGCGCTCACCTCGTACCCATTATACAGAATGATTCAAAAACTATGTTCACCCCTTTTATTCTGCTTTATTCAAAATCTGGTTTTTGAAGTTTTTAAATATAAATATATTTGAAAATTAAAGACCATATAATTTTAAATATTTTAAACTTTTTTTGCTGTTTAAGATATTATGTTCTATTTTTTAAATAACAACTCTCCCTTTTTCTATCATAAATTATTTGGTTAATCATTTTTATGAAATTTTAACATACCAAAATATATTTTATAATTGAAATCAAAATACGAACGAGTAGGTTATGAGTTATTTAACTTTGTATATTAATGATAATGGGACAACCATTAGGATTGACTGGATTTGGTCAGAAAATACGATTATTTGAATATACCTATTAGTAATTAATATTATAGCTTATCAATATTTATTTATAAATTTATAATTTATAAAAATGGTTCATGTATAATGAGAATAGTAAACCCGGCTTTATGACTATTTCATGTTTTTACTCAAGATATATTATGCTTAGATTGCTTAGAATAAACATTTTAATAACCCAGAAATACTCGTCCGAATTTTGAATTAGTTACATCAACGTTTTCAAAAAATTCATCCGCTAAATAATTTACAGTAAACCATGTAGATCTGACCATGTGAGATTACTTGTATGAGCACGAGAAATTCTTCAATCAGTACAATCTAGCAACAAATATCAATAATTTGAAAACCTGCAGATGTTTAAGTATAATAATATTTCCAAAAACAAAATTTGAACGAATTCATCGCTGTTGGCAAATGAAAATATGGGGATGAGCACGGTCGGCGAATCACTCTGTATATTATTGTTATTATTATTGTATCGTAACTACAATAATATAGAAATATCCGCCGTTGTCCCGCGATCCGGTTGCTCACATCGGGCCATCGCGCGATCCGCCTCTTCCCCCCCATCTGGGCGGGCGACGATAATAAGCGCACGGTTACCTATATATAACGGTGACGGTAAAACGGTTTTCGGGTATACGGTTCGAGTAGGTCGCTGTGTACGCATCGCGAAATCATCGTCAGTATTATTATTATTATTATTATTATCGTCGTCGTCGGTTGCTATATCCATCGTAACGGCGTGAAAAACAGTGCGATTCGATCGGACGTCATGTTGAGGACCGCAGACATCGCGCATCAGCTGCAACACTATTGCGACGTGTTCGACGACTGCCCTCTCGGCGGAACCGTCGCCGAGGGCCTGCAGTGGTACGACGACTGTGGTTACGGTTACGTCACCGCGGAGGAACAGTCGGCCGGTCGCCGGTCGGCCAGCGGCGGTAGCGACCAGAGTTACGGCGGCGGCGCAAAGGCTGACGCGGCGGGCAGCAGGAAACGCCGTCGGTTAGCGGCCAACGCGCGCGAGAGGCGCCGCATGGACGGCCTGAACAAAGCGTTCGACCGGCTCCGGGGCGTCGTGCCGGCCGCCGACGACGAGCGCAAGCTGTCAAAATACGAAACGCTTCAGATGGCCCTCACGTACATCGTGGCCTTGCACGAACAGCTCGGCGGAACGCCCTCGACGGCCAGCGGCAGTCCGGTCCCCGCCAGGCCACACGCAACGAAACCGTCCGCGGCGGCCGTGTCCACGCGTTACGCCCATTGCGGCGCGCCGCTGCCGTGGCCACCGCAACAGCAGTAGACGGCCGCCGCGCCGGTACGTTACGGATCGTGTTGTGTGATTGGCGTGATTTCAACAAATACCTATTAGAGGCGCTGAAGCCTCTTATTTTAATTTTAGTTAGACTAGAAAGTCAGACTTGAAAATTACGTAAGTTGTGGGGGTATTGTTTTCAAAATTGTGTATGTTTGATAATCACCCAAAAGCCCCAAAAATTGTATCTATACGGGTCGCTATCGTCGGTTTTCCCCAAACGTATTACCTAATTAATATAATTATGATTTCGCGGCGACACAATACTCTGTCGTGAGCATTTTTTTAGGCTTAATTCGAGTTATTTGTCGAGCAAATCATTATTTATTTTTTCTTTGTATAAAATACTTTCGGCGCGTTATACTTTGTCGTATTGTCCATTTCAATTACTTATGTCTGCAAGAACAATAATATGCAATATCTGTTTTACTCCAAAGGCTAATTACGACGTAAAACGGTCTTTGTTGACTCTTTGTTAATAAGATTCATAATTGAAGACCGTTTTACTTGTTCTCATTTTATTTTATTATAATCTAAGCTTATATTTTAAAAAACCATGATGTCGGTACTTATTTAAATCTCTATTCGACCCGTAAAAAAAATTATTACACTACTTTATGAAACTCTGATTCAATCAATTACGTTATATGTTTGAATAAAGTCCCATTATACTTGTATAGTTTTTAGAGTTCGCTACATTATTATTTTACCAAAAAAATCACTCATTTTTATATTTTATTTTATATTGTTTATACGAAACGGAAGTAGACCATCCTATAAATATCAATGTGCTGCAAAATAAATAAATATAGTTTATATTATAATAGTTTATATTAATATTTCAGACAACAAACTTGCAGGGCATTTTATACCTACTATAATATAGTTGAGGATTTTCCTGGGGTGGACCAGAACATAAATTCTTACAAAACTAATATACTGCATTATTGAACGTAGTTTATACATTATGAGTTTTATCACTCGTTTTCTGAACTTTGAAATCAATTTAAAAAAAAATGTAATGTGATTTTATATTTTAAAATTATATATAGATTCATTTGTATACAAAAAAAATAAAAAATAAATTTGTTTGTAAAATATTATAAATTATTATATAAATAAGTGTTAAATTTTTTTTAGAATATTTTGCATTATTTAAATAATTTAGTTATTGTTTTTTCCTTTTGCATAGAATATTGTCAATATTTTGTAAATTATTTATATTTGAGACTGAGAATTGTAATTATTGTATTATTGTAACATGTTAATAAACGATTAGTTTATATTATATCACTTCAGTATTTTCTTATTGAAGATAGGTACCTAATAATACATTTATTCTGATAAAATGCTAAATCAATAAAATATTTAATTTAAAAATTCAGTACTTAGGTATAATTATAAAACAACAGCACGTATCGTTTTAAAGACATATTTTCGCCAAAAATATATTTTTTTGTTGTTCGAGTACATCTGATTATTTTTTAAAGTGTTCAATAATATTTAAGTACTATATTGCACATGCCAAAATAATATGTATACTTTTGAAAATCGAAATACCCTTAGTGGTAAGTGATCTGTGTGTTATTATACCATTATGTATGCATGTAGATAAAATAAAATTTGATTGAAAATAAATTGCTACTTCAAAATAACTTCTACTACAGTTTTCATTTGTTTGACGTAAGTATATGTTCAATAATATATTATTTAATAGGTATACTATATTACTATAATATATAAGAAAGGGAATAGTTTTAATTTTTAATTTTATAACTGAGTAAGTAGTACATAGAATATTAGAATAACAATATATTTTAGTAAAAAATAATATTTAAAATTATAATATATTTTCTACTAGACGTATCACAATATTCAAAATAAAAATAGGTAAACAAGTGGGTACTGTTTTATAACACACAAAACGACGAGTGGGTCACTGTAATGACTATGTTAAATTTGAATTAAAAAGTTTATTGTTGTAAACAAAAAACTATTCTGAGCGGAAACGGTCTGTTAGCTTTTTATCACTAAGTATAGGTACATGTGATTTTTATACAGCTATTAAAGTAATATATTTTACTTAAAGTATTGCAGTAGTTTTATTTAATTTTTACTATAAACATTTAATTTATTTTGTTATTACAATCATGTCATATTCTGCATTTATATGACATTATATTATTATTATTAACTTATAAGTAAATAGTATCTTTCTATAAATACTGTAAAGCAGTTAATAAATTCATACTATAAATAGATAAAATCTTAAAATTAATCTACATTCTACATATTTTGAGAATTTCATTGCTTATAGCAAAATTTATTATATGCATAAAACTTTTAAATCCAAATGTAGCTATCAAAATTGAAGATTTTATACATTTTTTACAGCAAAATACCTGTCTTGTAATTTGTAATTTTTTTTATTATTTTGTAAAAATTTGAACTTTTAGTGAATGCAATATAAAATTGTCTTGTAATACATTTTCAAGAATACAGAACATTAAAATTATCTATAGATAATTATAAAAGAGTTAACATCTTTTGAAAAAAATATTCATAAAAATAATATAAACAATTAGTTAAAATTAAATTTTCTACGATTACCTATTTTTAAATAATAACAACTTAATACAAAAGTCAATTTTGTCAAAAATATGTTTAGTGTAAGAATTTCTGTTTTTCCTTATTTTTTCTTTTGTTCTTCCTGGTTATTAAAGGAAGTACTTAGGAATTATTACTTTTGACTCTTTAAAGTACTAACTAGATTCAATTTTCCACCAGAAACCATTCCTAAAGTTGAAAACCGAAGCATTTTTACTGTTTCAAAATTTGATGACAAATAGAAAAAAATACACATATATTATTACAAAATCAATACATTTATCGTTTCATTTTGAATTTAAGAAATAAATACCAAAAAAAATTGAGTTCAGTTATGGTATCTAGTAAAAATTATGTTTCAGCACCTTTAATTAGATTAAGACGAAAATGCACGTTCAATTGAATATTTACACTACAAAGTGAGCAACAAAGGTTTAGAGGACCTCTTAAATTCTCGAAATAACTTAAAAAATTATTGTTTTACATCTGGTATAGTAATAAATTATAAATTTGTATTCACCTTATTGAATTGATCAAATTAAATTATTCTAATAGTTTTCACTAATTTAATGTTACATCAAATCTCTCTTGCTGCTGGCATAGTGTATTTGGCAGAAATTATACCAAAATTGTATTTATGTTACTACACGGTTTTGGCAAATTTTGACTTAACAGACCGCCCTAAATCCTCCAAATTAATTAGAGCCGTTATTTTGTTGTAATAAATTGTATTAAATATCAAAAACAGAAACACCCACTGGTTTTCGGTAAATTCCAATTATTGCACCGATTTAAAGTATTAGATTTTGGCTATATGTATAAACATTACAAGTATTAAGTTTTTTGTAATGGTAATAAACTTAATGCCTATTTGTAAATGTGTATTAAACATTTATATTTAAGATTCTGAGCAAAGTAATAAATGTAATAATTTTGCAATGATTTTTTTTTTGTATTTATTAATACGATAAGTATTTAAAAAAATGCTTCTACTTTATAGATGGAATTAGGTAAAAAATTGAATCTTGTTTGTATTTTTAAGAGGTCCAAACTAAAAATTACCAGTATTTTTCAATACAACTAGAAAAAAAAAAAAAACAAAAATTAAGAAAAATGGAATTCTTTATGTAAAAAAAGTTTTTGACAAAATAAATTTTAGTATTTTGTTGTAAATCAAAAAAGAATAACTGAATATTTGAAATTTTCATTAAATTATTAAGATAATATTTTCTACAGTATAAATAGCATTTAAAATTTTCTAAATATTTTTCACTCTTTTTAAGTAATTTATAGAAGGTTTCACATAAGTTGTTTTTTATTAGTTTATTAACTTAACTTATTGTTTGTTACATTATCCATTATTTTGTCTTTTCTATATTAATTATCTTTTCACTTGTGCTTATTGTAAACCTTACTTTACAGATTGTACAATTATCTAGATTAAAAATAAAAAATAAAAACGATTAGTTTAAAAATACATAATCACAATGTTTTTTATAATTGTTTATATTTAGTTTAACAGAATTCAAAAAAAATTTAAAAATTATTTCTAAGTTAATAATTCATAATAATATTTTTTTTATTTCTAAATTTTGAAAATGTAATACAAGATTCTGTATACGTTTTTTTCACATAATATGATAAAAATAAAGTTAAGTGAAAGGTCACATTTATTATGAGTGTTTGAAGTTTCCCATTCTTTTTTTTTTTTCCGTTTATTATATTTAAAATGTGTCAACATATTACATATTATTACAAGTTTATTAATACAATTTAAAATTTATTATTTATAAGTATGGTATGGATGATCAGAAGATATGTGATACGTGTGTTAATTAATTAAGGAGTGGAAGTGATGAGGAGTGGAATTTTGTTTATTAGGAATGTTTCCATTCTTAAAATATTGAATATTTAAACATAAAATAACTACCTTTGAGCATATTTCATTTATTTACAACAAAGCGTTAAATGATGCGTATGATAGATTTCATTTGATATTATTGCTATGGTTTCAAAAATATTTAACACCAAAAAACTTTATATCACTCTCTAGCACGTTTATCAAATAAATCTTTTAAATAACGTACAGTCATACTTCTTAAGATATTTATCTTATAAAGTTGCATTAAATTGCCACACAAAGGAAATCATATTGAAATTAGTTCTACACAGTACACACACTTTTTGCCCGACGTAAATTTAATGATATACCCTTTATATTTTACAAAACTTTAAATAATTATAATATGCACTGTCCTGAAGTATTCGAATAAACCGATTTATAGAAACTTTACACATCAGGTCATGGACCAGTTTTTATTAGTTATTCCATGACTAATCATACAATCATAATGAACCTAAAACGTGTATACTTCGTTTTTGTAACAACTTGATGATTTTAACTTCAATTGGGATTATGAATTTCAACTTCTACAACTATGCTTAGTTTTTGAAATAAAATGAATTGCATTTAATTCAATTTTTTATATTTATTATCTCATCCAATAAATACTTGTCTCATTTCATTAAAAACTTTACCTTTGTTAATATTGTTAAATTATATTATGAACTTAAGTTAATTAACTTATAAGAAATCTTGTATACTTTATTGCTCTCGTGCGTCAAATAAATGAGTAAATAAATAAATATTTTATATACGCAATGAAATTTTCAAGTGAAATGTTTTCGTTAAAAATTAATTCAACCAACTGTATTTTAGTAAGTAAAATAAATAAATGTAATAGTCATATAAAAAAAATATAACATGAAACATACTTATGTATAATGATATTATATAGGTAGCAAAAACTTTTTTGTTCAGAATTATATTTCTTAAACAATGATATAATATCATTGAGTTTAAATATAATATATAATAATAACTATCTCAACACCTATCTCAGAGTGCTCATTTACTCACCTTTTTTTTTTTAAGTTTGTATCTAGAATAATGATTAATGTTTAAAAATAAGTCAAAAAACTATTACATTTAAAAAAAAAAATTATTATATTTTAAATTAAATATAAAATTAAATAAAACATTTAAGGATCCCGA